GTACTTTGAGGTGTAACTCCTAACACAATAGTTAGGCAATGTTTTAACCTGTAGCAAAGGACGAGAGAGAGAGAGAGAGAGAGAGAGGAGTGAGGAGTGTGAAGAGCGAGATGAGTGTTTGTCTATCTCCCTGACTTCATCATAAACAGGAAGGTTCATTCAGTAAGATGTGTACTATATAAACAGAGGTGTAGTTGTGAGTACAAGATCATCAGTGTGCACGTGTTGACAGCCACACCACTCCTACAGCCACACCACACCACACCCTCGCCACACCTACACCCTCACCACACCTCACCTACACCCCACCACATGCAGTGCCGGATTTAGACCTGTGGAGGCCCATGGGCAGCCAGCCTCTTTGTGGAGGCCCCCCTCATTATAACTACCCAAGAGGGTGGGGTGGCGAGTGAAGCGAGCCTAAACATCTGGGAGTTCCGGGGGGCGCTGTAAGCCCCCCGGGAGAATTTTGAAATTTGAACACTTCTTTGGGGAATTTTGAAGCCATATTGAGAAATTTTTAATTAACTGTATATTTATTGATAGTGTACAAATTCCCAACACACACACACACACACACAAAAGTGAGACATGACTGGAGTCATTCATGTGGTTTCAAGTCGACCAGCCCTGATATAGCTACTACCGCACATGTCAAAAAATTTCAAGAGACTTCACAGAAAAGAATATATTATTAGTTATGAGTTATTTCAAGGAGTAGCACTTGAATTTTAAAGAATGAAAATAAGAATAATCCAAATGAATAAACAAATAAAATATTGTAATATGTGGAGGCCCCTGGGCAGCTGTCCACTTTGCCCACTCCTGAATCCGGCCCTGACCACACGCCCAAAACACCCCACCACACGCCCACAACAGTACTCAGATTCACCTCTCGGGTTCATGAAGAGAGCGAGGGGCAGGCGAACATCCCAATAAACAAAGAGACTCGTACCAGGGATTCGAAGCTTCAGTCATGTAAAGGGAAGGTTTAGTCGTGACTCTGTGCTCTCGTGTTTATCCTCCTGTCAGTACCATGCTATTTTGGCCGATGTCTTTGTGTTGAAGTTTAGGACATAAAGAAAAGCTTTCTTCTGGTTTCATATACCGTAAAACCTCTATATAACGGACTTTAACGGACTTCTCTCTCCATATAATCCGTTGGATGGGGGTTTCACTTCTAACGGACCCTCGATATAACGGACTTTCATTTCCATATTGTCCGTTAAATAGAGGTGGTCGGTGTGAGTGTAAAGGTTTGGTGTTAATATTTCTTCTTTGGTGAAGTATGAGGCGGCACTTACTGGAGGACCGAGAGAGCAAGTGCGTCGAGATTTACAATTTTATCTTCAAGGTTTTCGCAGACTCAGTTACCGGAGATAAGAGTGTTAAAGAAGCTGTCACGTGTTGCAGGAAAGTTTATTACGCTATGTGGTTAGGTTCACCTTGTGGTAGATCAAATAATTGTACTGACGAGGCGACTACTGTCTTTGTCTTAACGGACTAAGGAACTGCTCACACACGGTCCCAAACCTTTGTGTTTAGATGAATATGTCAGCATGCCAACAACGTACTTGTGACCTTCTTTAAACACGAGAGTTACAGAACGATGTCTTAGCAGCACACACACACACACGTAAACAAACATTCTGTGAGCGTGTACAGAAAGCCAGGCCTTTGTGTCTGAAGACGTCACTGTGCCAACCGCATACTAGTGTACATTTTTAAACCTCAGAATTATGTTATTTTCCTTTAGTTAGGTTGTGAGGGTGGCCTCTACACCGGGACATCTTAGCGCCATAGTGTTGTGAGACTGTCCCGGTGGTTCATGTAAATATCGTCTAGTTGTGACCAAGTCCCAGGTTGATGATCTGACTTTGTGCCTCATTTACACACAATTTCAGGGTCTCAATTGTTTCTCTTACTTTGACAACACAACACAACACACATATATTGTTTCTCACTTCTGATCTTTTTTGTATTATTATTACAGTGTTATTCTTATTATTATCAGTTATTTTATTTTCAATTTTGTATTATTTATTATAAATTTTACTTACTTTGAATTATTATTTATAATTATTATTGTTACATTCCCACCCACCCACCCCCAGGCCCCGATGTGGGTCAGTGACCTGTGCCCGGTGGGTTAATGCCCGTAAAAAAAATAAACAAATAAATAAATATATATATATATATATATATATATATATATATATATATATATATATATATATATATAAAATGGTCATTTGACCTTTAGAGCTTCCCTCACGCTCTCCAGGCTGTAACCACATCAGCTGAAGATTATTTTTCGACATATTATATAATCACCCGGTAAATAACGTCCTCCTAAAGGCGGTTAATTAACTGGAGGAACCATCTTCACGTTTGAGAAGGTTTGTTCCTTCATAAAGCTTTTAGTGTACACGACCACGTGTGTCCACTCATTACAATCACATCAGTTGGCTTAGACATGGTGCGCCGCCGGACGTGTTATTGGTGTACAGTACGAGGCTACGGACTATCAGTGCACTATTCATACCCGGCCGTTAGCTGCACCACTTACCATGTTAACCTCTCTATGTCTTATTGGCGTTTGTTTTGATGTTTCTTACCATAATTTCCCAATTTAAAATGATGAAAGGAATGCTTTCACTCTCTGTTTTGAAGTTATCGTCAATGGGATTCTCGACTCATCTCGGGTAGGTGGAGGGAGGGGGTCCTTATTGAGGCTACGGATCTCACTCGAATCGTGGGTTATCGCTTTGGCACATCATTGTAAATTGTGAGTATTGATGAAGATTAAGTTTTGGAGACGAAGAAGAGAATGAATAATACTGTAATATGAACAAACGCAATAAGGTACTGTATCGTATTTAATGAGAAGAGAGCTGGTTACAAGACAAAGGTAGATACAGCACTAAAACAAAAAAGGATGAAGTGAATTGTGGTGGTTGATGAAGGTAACTTGCTGGACGCGTGACGACAGCAGCAGTACCAAAGGTCACGAAAAACTAAGAAAAAAATACGGAAATGGAGAGTTAGTGAGGGTAACTTTTGAGGTGTTGTATTCAGTAGCTTTTAGGGTTTGGGATGCACAGTTTTATTATGGCAGGGTAGATGGATGCTTGTTCTGTACTGTACTTCTCCACATGCCTCAGTGATAGCAGCAAGTGGGTGTACAGCCATTACTAATGAATGGAAATACAACTGACATTTATGTTCCCAGGTTAAGAACTTTTTTATTGGTCAGACTCTGTATTTGTGGTTAAGTGAAAGTTGTTGCTTATATTGTGGACTTACAAGGTATTACTTCTTGTGTGTAAAAATCTGCATAGTGAAAGTTAGAGGTCTTCAAGGGTGGACGTCATACATGTATAAACTTGAAGAATGTATGTAATATGGTGAAATTGATTTGGGTTATGTGAGTACAGTCTATAAGACGTACCGTACCTCGCTCCAGTGTACCATAACAGCTTTTATAATTAATCAGTGTTTGTAGCTTCGTGGATTAAATGCTCCCTATTTTTTATTATGGCACGTTGGGCTGCTATTTATATGTGTCCACGTGGTTGTTGGGATTTGGCAAAGTGGATGTAGGTTGAGAGGAAATAGTGTTGGTGTGAGTAAACTTTAGAATTCCGAGCATGGCAGTGGCTGTTGGTAGCACGATGTTACTGGTGCTATTGCTTCTTGCTGTAGTGTTGGGTGCCTGGAAGTATCATTACAGTACAGTACATATTAAAGATTGTGTCTGTCAGACCAACAATAAAACATCATAATCTTTACAGCAACACTGAGGGATGTATTGTGTAAGAAATTCCCGACTACAAACTCACGATAAAAATTTAGTTATACACTGTCACTGAACATTCTCATGTCACTAGTATAGTCTGTGCGAGTAGTTATGGTATTAAAAATAAGTTTTCCAGGTTTTACATAATGTACAACTTAAGGATGACAAGCATTTATGACCTCATGTTTAAGGATACACTGTAATTCAAGGTCAAATGCTACCTGTGAAACTCTTGTATTGTACTGTCTCTAAGTATGCCCCACATAATTATAATACAAAATTCATATCCACAGATTGAAGATGAAAATCACAAGTTAGGGTTAGCATTGTCAGGTACAGTACAGCACAGTATTTGGCCACCCGTGTACAGCACAGTATTTGGCCACCCGTGTACAGTACAGTATTTGGCCACCCGTGTACAGTACAGTATTTGGCCACCCGTGTACAGTACAGTATTTGGCCACCCGTGTACAGTACAGTATTTGGCCACCCGTGTACAGTACAGTATTTGGCCACCAGTACGTGTACAGTACAGTGTGTACAGTGTACAGTACAGTATTTGGCCACCGTACAGTACAGTATTTACAGTACAGTATTTGGCCACCGTACAGTACACAGTATTTGGCCACCGTACAGTACAGTATTTGGCCACCGTGTACAGTAGCATTGTATTTACACCGTGGTACAGTGCACAGTATTTGGCCAATTACAGTAATAGCGTCACATGTACAGTACAGTATTTGGCCACCGCAGTACAGTACAGTATTTGGCCACCCGTGTACAGTACAGTATTTGGCCACCCGTGTACAGTACAGTATTTGGCCACCCGTGTACAGTACAGTATTTGGCCACCCGTGTACAGTACAGTATTTGGCCACCCGTGTACAGTACAGTATTCATTTAGCCAATTTGCCTTTTTATCTCTCAGACTTATTACCTTAAATGTGAAAGTGATTCTGAGTAGTAGCATCATGTAAGCACCTCAGGACTTTGAATGACTATGGGACTCCAGTCTGCCAACAAAGTGCACTGTACTGTTATTAGACCAGAGTCATCATATATACCCAAATCTGTATTGAACACATCCAGTAGTGTAAGTTGTAAACACATTTCATGACCATGGACGTGTGAACATTTAAGTGGGGAAGATACCTTATAGTTTTAGTAAGGTCATGATGATTTATTGTCCTTACTCTTGCAGATCGTGGAGGTGCTACTGAAGGCGGGAGGACACGTGGACCAGGTGACGGCATTTGGGGAGAGACCAAGTAAGAATCTGAGGCTTAACCCCAAGTGTCAGATCAGCATCCTAAACTATACCTCTCTCAAGTGTCTGGCTGCCAGAGTTATTCAGGAACACAGGATTCCCTACGTCGGTGAAGTGCCCACCCACCTGGAATCCTTCATCAAGATGCACTAGATACCCCCAGGATGGTGCATCACAACCTTATACTTCACTTAAATATCCACGCCAGGAGGCAATCACTCTTGTTGGCAGATCCCTATGCACTTAAAGCCCCCCATACAAGTATACTGCCTCAGTTGCTTCTGATTGGTTGCTAAGGATGAGTGTGTGCAAATATCAGGCATCTGAGAAGCCCCAGTACAGTACAGTACAGTACAGTACTGTACTGTACTGTAATAATAACAGAGTACAGTATTATGTTATAATTATTGTTGTAAACTTTCTAAAAGGATAAAATATTTTAATGTTTGAATTTTCAAAATTTATTATGAACATAAAATAGTATTTTTATTAAAGAAAATACTCATTGTTTAAAAACAATTGTTGCCATTTTTTCTATACTGTATTAAGTTTATGCTGTCTGACTCAAAGTGTTTGTTAACCCTCTGTGGTAGACAGAGCTGAGCTACACAGGAATTAGTGTAATAAACTGTAGTTGTTGACCAGCAGCAGCTTACCATAGTTGATTTGTCATATCCAGTGTCAAGCATATTTTTATCACTGTATGATTGTGTCCATGTGTATAAGCCTGTGTGCTGTATAATAATGTATAATGATACAATTTAGCTTTATTTTTTATGGCTTTTATACTTAAAAGTATCCCAAATTGAATATTAAGTGAACATACAGTACAGGTACAGTATTTCAATATCAAATTAGCATTATATTAGTTACTTCATAATACAGGAAGGCTGTGTTAGAAATGCAGAAAAAACTTAAGTTTGTCTTTATGAAGGGCATTTGGCTTTACAGTATTGTACATGTAAGTGTTTTTTTTTAGCCCTAAATGATCACTATAGGACGTGCTGTAAGTATGGAAAAAATAAACCTTCACAGTGCTATGATCAGACTTTATTCCTGCTGATTTTTAGCTTCTGTTTATCCCACGTCCTGAAATATAGTACTGAACATGTATACATAATATATACTGTGCAGCTTAATCATTTAGGATTCTCGAATAAAAAAACATTACTCAGTACAGTGTATTTTGGTACAGTACAGTACTGTAATACCAAATGTTGGATGGGTAATTCATAAACATTCACAAGATTCTACCAAAACCCAACAGTAGTGTACACTGAAGCATAGAGATCCAATACTGATACATGTAATCACTGGAACATATACCTGTATACAGTACTGTACTGTAGTGCCAGTCACTTTATATACCTACGTCACTTTCAATGTATACTGTAAAAGGGAAAATTTTGCATATTGGCTCTGCATAACATTAACCCCTTGTGTACGGGTTCCCCTTTGTGCTGAATAAAATCGTTTGGTGTTAGACAAATAAAATATTAAAAGTGTCATCCCCATAGAGAAGGAGTTAAAGAGAAATTAATATTATTAGATATTTTGTCTAAACTTTACATAAACAATAAGCGTGTTTCTGCTGCATAGAAGTCCCTGTGTGGTCATTTCCTTCCTCCTTTCTGAAGAATATGTCGAGATAATTTCCAGTTAAGGAACACATATAAAGGATGCTTTCATAGGTGCAAAACAGTACAGTACAGTACAGTACAGTACAGTATATATTCTTTGATTTACATAAAATAACAAAATCACAAATTCTGGTTGGAAAGGCAGTGTGACCAGATAATTGTCAGAGTAATGGTCAAGAAATTGATACACTATGCTTTACTTTAACTACCACAAGAAAAAGGCTCACATAAGTCATAGTCACCATTTTGTTTATGCCTGGCAGAGTAAATATATCAGGGGATAGATTTATTTTATCAAGTGAGTTGATATGAAACCATCCATAATATTTTAAGGAACCCCGTCAGTAACTTTTGGTGAACCTACTGTACCCTGTACTGTTGGCCTCAATCCATGAAATTTTGAAAATGATCGACTAGTTTCCAGACTTAACAACTTCACTAATACAGTACAGTATTATTACTTCAATAGAATGCCCACACTCAAAAAAGGTATCTTTACAGAGGGAGGGTCGATGAATTTCAAAATGAACAACTGCAATTCCTGTTGTCTCAGTAGGGTTGCCAAAATCCTTCGTCTGTTGTGTCTTACAGTATTGTCAAACACTAAATCGTAAAGATACATTTTTCATTTTATTCTTCTCAAAGAAATATAATTCATGTTGAAAACTTTTATACATTACAGTACAGTATAGGAGTTCAGTCACCATCAGCAGGACTTCATGATTTTGTCCGAGCAAATAATATCATACTGTACTTACCAATAATTGAAATGTTTATATTTGATAGTAAAAGGGAGATATTAAATACAGTGCGTGATAAATAACCGTGTTCTGAGGAGAGCTACAATACTGTACAGTTCTGGTATATTTTATAATATTCTTATTTTATATTATATGTCAGTGTTAGAGTTGCCAGCCACTTCTCCATAAAAAAAAATGGGGCTTACTGTTGATGGCACCCATAAGACCATATTTAAGAGCTACAGTGATTCTTATTGGCACCAAGAGTGTTGGTTCACATTAGGTGTAGCTAACTATGGTTTTGGTAGCATCTTGTGCCAGATGTATTGAGGACAACTGTTAAGGTCGTCCCAACCAAGAGCTATGCTATGCACGTGTGTTACGTGTCTTTGAACAGCTACAACGGTTTCTAAATTAGATGCCACACTGTGTGTGGCTTACATAGCATTGCTGCTGGTGTGAGTTACCTTACTTAAAAACCATTGTAGTTGTTCATCGACACGTACCACAGATGCACAGCGTAACTCTTGGAGTGAGACCACCTTTACGCTGTGCCTCTCCTGCCCACGTCCTTCTCATCAACTCTTTACAGTTTTAACATCATATTTTATCATGAACTTAAACTGTTTCACTGTTTGTTATACAGAACTTATTTTATGGTACTACCGTATACTGTACAGTACTGTATTAGTCTAAATATAACACAAAGTGATGTGACAAGCACAATTCTGGTTAAGGAGTCTTTAATGATGGCAGTGTTGGTCACTGTACAGTACAGTGTGTATAAAAACAAGAAGTGTGATGATAAGATTAATTTATTATGAAGTATATATTGTAAGTTCCTTCAAATATAATTCTTTAATTTGAACCACTTCAGGAGAGCAATACTGTATATGTATATTGTAACTTAGTTGTTGTAAGCACATACAGTAGCTACCTCTTATTTGATAATTAATACAAAAAAAGTTAATTTTCAAATTCCTTCTTTCTTTCTTAAATGTGTTTCAAGAGCTGTAGTTGTGAAGTGTTGCTCATGTTTTTCTTTGTAACAACACTCATTTCTTTTTGTATGTGTGTGTGTGTGTAAAAGTAAGTTTGTTATTCATTGGTTTATATTATGACATTATAGGTGAATTGGCAACACAAATTAGTCCATATTTCAGTAGTATTTTCCTATGGTGACAAGCCGTTGTGCAAGCCACTCATCTTATGTTTACATAGTGAGAAATTAGTTAATAATTCTGTCTGCAATATTCATATAGACCAGATCTTGTATAGTTTTGCCTTAATGGTTAGGACTTATATGGTTAGAATATGCACAGCACAAAAACCAATTATCCCACCACGAACGAGTTATCTCAATCGGTGGGTGCGTTGTCACCAAGATGTGTTCTAGCATCAACACTAATAGATTGTAAGGCTTATGACACACCACTCAAACATGATTGAGAGCTATACAGTAAGAGTCGTATAGCTCATAAAGAAGCATTTTGATCAATATTTCGCTACTTACAAATAATATTATGGTTTAGCAAAAATAAAATACAGTAATATAAAATAAAATTAGGTTTACAGTCATGATTTTGTATTTAGAGCTCGTGTAATTTAGAGCTTGTACAAAGTTTTCCTGATTGTGATAAATTTATATAAGATGGCAAACACACCGATAGTTTAGAGTAATTCTGTGGTGCTTCTCATATGTTACTGCTAATCAGACAGACTCTTTCATCTGTTGTCTAGTGTTTTTGTTGGCTGATACAAGTTCAGTAGACTCAGTAATGCACTATTCCAGCCATGGTTCATACGTCACTACTCAAAAGTAGTACAGAATATTTGTCTGGTTTCGTGCAGTAGTGGCGTTGAGCCCAACCAAATATAACATAGAATAATACGAGTGTAATGAGCAGCTAAGACAACAAAAATGAGAAGTTTGTTTAAGATAACTTTTGTATCCCAGGTACCAGCAGCACCACACAGCACTGAGGGGTCAATGTTAACTGTGATAAGTCATCCTCCTCGGGGATAACACACTACCATTGTTGTGCTTCTTGCTGCAGAGGATTAGCCAGCGTACATGGAGTGAAGCCGTTAGAACCAACGGCCCTCTTGCTCTGTCTATAAAGTTATTGAGAGATGAGGCTGGCTACTTGTCTGCAGCAATGTTCTATTTCCTAAGGTGTTTTAATATTACCGAATCCTGTAGCTTTAGTCACCTAGAAAATTGGAAGGGGAAGGATGACAACCCAAACGTGTCATATTGTAATGAGTATGTATCATTACCTTAGTGCTTATTATAACTTTATTTGAGGAGCTTCAGTAACATTTATTGTAAGGATTTTATAAATCTTTTGATTGACAATTGTAATCCCTCATTGTCGAGGGTATCAGGAATGTTCACTTATTTTTCATATACTTTTTTAAAATCATTTATTGATAATTCTACATTTAAAATCATGATTTGTGTGCTTTGTTAATTGTAAGATGATTTTCTATCTGTATAAAAGTTTTTTATTACTTTTTCAAAGGCAACCCCTCCCATGTTGTGAGATGTAGGGTAGTTGGTGATGTATTGGTTCACAGTGTCCTCCTCACTAGAATGTAAGACATTTTGAAATGCATAATTTTGGAATATGAGAGATTTATATTTATATATCTATATACAGTAATATATATTGCTAATTGTTAGACAATCTTTACTGAGCACAATAATTATTAAAAGTCCAAAAGTTCATATTAAGTGGAACGTTTTCATTAATTATTTCCCTTGTATTATAACCACTTCCATTTTCATATTGTGTACAAGTGTTTTGCAGATCTACGAGGACTGTTTTTGCATTTTACCAGTTGATCAGACTAGACCTAGTCAAGAGCCGATCCACCGTTATTACTGTATCTTTCTATGTATAATGTCTTGTATAATCCAGAAATAAAGTTAAATGCATGATGACTTTCTTTGAAGAACATTATATCTTATTGAGGTGTTCTCTCCATTTATGAATTTGTATTTAATTGATGGGTGTCGGAGATGCTTGTCTGTAAACAATCATTTATGAGAAACAGAAATGTGAGGCTGTGGACTCAATAACATTTGGTAATACTGTAATGAACATTGGCTGGAAACAGGGATGTATGTATGATATCCAAAGCCAATCTGGATAGACACATGGATGGGCCTGCCAAAGGCTGTGGGTGTAGAGTCCAGGTAAACCTAAGCCAGTTTTGGTTCTGCTTGTAAGGAAAGAAAAGTGCTTTAATTTTATTGCACTTATACAGTGGCTTTATTAGTTGGTGATACTGTACACCATTGTAGGTGTTAGTTTTCTGGTAAGAGAAGAGTATATGTACATTTGCTTACAATCTAATATGGTAGAGCTGGTATGGTGTTGGCTCACCTCAGCACAGTGTACAGTAATCATAAGCCTCGGTGTATAGCCCAAAGCTCCTTATTTAGAAAATCTTGAAATGTTGTATCTCAGGTTTTGAGTGACAGACTCATGCAGTGAAAGGGAATGATGGAGAAGTCTGCGTGATGTGTAGTGTGTTGTTGTGAGTCCCACTGGGGAAGTTGGTCAGCCTTGTACAGTACGTAAGAGACTCATAAGGAGATATTACATTCAAAGGGATCAATACTTGTACTGTACTGTGATAAAGTGTTTTAATAGGATTTGGTTTCTGCTCCACCTCAAGTATTACTAAACTCCTATTCACAGTATTTCTCCTTCATTGATCCAGTGGGTACAAAGGTGGGTGGTTTTGTAAACTATATATGAGTTTTCTAGCTTTCTCTTGTTCTGTTTCAGTGAAGGTTCAGTTTGAGTAATGTATTGAGCTCGAATTATATTCAAAACATGTGGGTAGTTTTTTATTACCTCCGAGGCACCTCTGTTTTGCCAGCAATTCCTACCTCGTGGGTTAGCAATAGGAAGGGCATCCAGCCATAAAATTTTGCTACAACTTGCAAACAGGTCACCAGAGCTGGCACACTTCTTGTACTGTAGAGAGGGTACATGATGAGCATTTCACAGGCTGACACTTACGATTTATAACACAGGTGCCTGAACTATGGGTAAGTACCATGAGTGGCTGCACCATCAAGTGCATAACACCATGGCCAGCTTTAGTGCCTTGTTGTCCATGGAATTTGTCCCAAAAGAGACCTGGCTGCTTTTGCTTCGACATCAGGGTCGCAAGTGTATCAGTACATTATCCGAGTTTGTGTGGGGGAAGGGGGATGTCTCTTTCTAGTTGTTTCCCAACTCTATTATTCTATATAACATGACAAATCAACCAAAGAACAAACATAAACCTGACACAAAAATATTACCCACACACCACAATAATGAATATCACAGGAAGCTTTATATACAGTAGTACCCTGATTTACGCGGTCAATTGAACCCATGGGGTACCTCGGAAAGTGAAAACGGCATAAAGTGAACAACAGAACATATGGGATTAATTCCAATAGAGACTGGCCCGACCCCCAAACTCCACTTTTTCAGACACAATACCTACGTTGTAGTAAAAATTACATCTTAATTTTATGATGGTATGCACACACAATTAATAATTAAGAGAAATCGATAATATTAGTTTTTTTAACACTTACATTAGTAGAAAAGATGGCTGGGCACACAGGGATGGGGGTTGGTTCCGAGGCCGAGGGCAGATTATTGGCCCTTACCTGTATCACTTGTATCAATTGTATCACTATCCGCCACAGAGGCTTGCAGGGCCTCTTTGTCAAACCCCTCAAAGTCCATATAAGTCCATATCCTCACTATCACTGACTTAGGCCGTTTGTGGTGGGTGGCCCCCAGTATACTGCCATTCTCAGTATTTGTCGCCAGTTTAATACTTGGTTTTTAGAGCTCAGTCGCTACTTAGTTTGAAAAGTTAAACTTAGAAGATTAAAATGAGTTCTTAGCCACATTGTCAAGCGCAGCTATGTAGAGTAAATTAGTCTGTTGATTTATCTGTGTAAGTAATGGCTTGGTAACTCACGGTTGGGAGGCGCCGGGTGTAGTTAAACCATTTTTTTTACAATGTCCAACTATATACTGTTGAGTACACGAATATTTTGGTAGTGCTGCCCTATTCTGGGAGTAAAATTATACTTATCTCCTGTATTTTACTGAGCTTCAATGTAACGACCACGGTCGTACACGTCAGTTAACGCCAAAATCAAATGATTCATATTACGCTCAATAGCCCACAGAACATGTACCTCTGCTTTTAGTTTGAGTCCTCCATCTGAGGAGTCCGTTTTCCCATCACTTCAAGACGCTTCAGTCCTCCGTTATCCCATTTTCTCTGACTTACTGAAACAAACCTCTCTATATAATGTATTTGAGTGTGAGAGAGAACACCTTTGTTTTGAGTCAACTTAGATATGTCTGTTTACAGTTGGAACATTCAAGATCCATTGTGAGTGGTGTTGAACGCTTCAACTGTCCTTATTGTTAATAAGACGTGTCAAGTAAGTGAGTGTTGAGTCTGCCGGGACAAACGCTACCCATCGGTTTCGTTCCCTAAGAATACCCATGAGTTTCTGATCGCTACTGAAGTTATATTATTTTGTCGCCCCGACATCAGAGAATCTGATGTTTGTAGTTTAGTTAGAGTCAGTTGTCTATTTAAGAAAGTCATTAATTTCCTGAATTATTCTGTCAACCTGTATTATCACCAAGGTACATTCAGGAGCCGGTGCATGCCCAGTATTTGCCAACAGTGCGTGACAGAGACGTGACCGATCGCCCGGGCGGCTAGCGAGCCGACCTTTTGGTGAAGAATATAAAGGAAAAGAGTCGTGACCGATCGCCCAAGCGGCTAACAAGCCGATCAGTGGCGAAGAGGATAAAAGTAAAAAGTAAGATCTAACGTTTCCCTGTGAATAGGTCCTTGTTCGCCTCAGGCCTAAGCTCGCAGAATTGATGTTATCAACGTGTATATTCCACCCTTTCCTGGCAACCTCAGATTAGATTATATGAATAGACATAGGAAATTAACCTGATCAGGAACACCGGAGTTCATAATTAAATATACGGTGATCCAAAATGGTAGAGAAGTTATGTTGTTGGTAAGATCGACCCTTCTGGTATGAATATGGAGGCCCAAGCTGCCCAGCAGGTGCACATATATACCTCTACACGAGGGAGAATCACGCATTCGTGACTCTTCCTCAACGTCTCTCCAGGTATGTTCACGTGTGTTCCCCGCCGCCTAGTAATTCAGTTTAACTTAGTCAATTTTGTGAATATCAGTGTTAATGTGTTAACATAGTAACTTCTGTGCCAATTAAGTCGAGTAACGTAGCGATTTAGATATCGGCTGGACCGTTGCCAGACGTATGTTTTGTATAGTTGAAGTTAATTATTGAGCATTCGTGACTCTTCCTCAACATATCTCCAGGCCAGTGTGTTGAGCTGAATACTCATCGGCTACCGTGGGTCGGTAGCCGAGTTGGACGATGCCGTTAATTCGACAGGATTAAACTGGGAAGTCCTTTTCCTGCTCCCTTGGCGTGTGTCGGCCACCACCGACCCCCTGACAGCTATCTTCATTTGTCATGGAGACACTTGGGATATATACCCTGAGGCACTCCTCACAGTTACACGGGCCTAAGTATTATTGTATCTTGATTGAGGGATTAACTAACAGATGGAAATCCCAGGTTAAGCAGTGAAACCATAAATGTTGATATTACCAGGAAATATGTTATGAGTACATGAACTGAAGGAAAAGTATCATGTTCATGACGATAGAACGTGAGGTTATAATTTGATTTGGGATAAGGTCAAGTGTGTCATATTATCCACTTGCAATAACAATGTAATATATTGATTGTTAAATGTCGTGACCAAGAATTGAAGATGTAATTTGTTACTTGTAAAAGTAAGACCTGGGGGTCCAGTGATATCTTGTGTATAATTACTGAATCTCATTTGTCAGAGGAATAATACCACAATTGTCTAATGAAGTAATAAGTATTTGGAGGTATTTAATGAGGTAATACGTTCTTGAAGTGTTTGATGACTTAATGAGTTAATTTCGGTTCTGTTTAGCCTGAGTGAATCTAAGATGCATCTTCTCCACTCACTGTGTTAATAAATATTGAATTAGTAATCTGAGTATCACCATTCTACTCCTAAACATTGGTTCCCAGAAAATAATACTTACTCACGTGCCTATACATCTACCACACTACCCAAAACCCTTCCATGAGTTGTTATATAATGAAAAGTCTGGGTGGTGGCAGTTACCCTGTCTAAGTATAAAAAGAGTTGTACTAAGAGTAACATGGTTCCCCAGACTAACCCATGTATAAGAATAGAAATAAAACTGTATACTTCCGAAAGGTAAGAACATTGAAACTGAGAATATAATAGATATGAACGAAATGAAAGTCTTGGAAGATATAAGAAAAGAAAGATAAGACATGTATGTTCATTGTGGAACTAATGACAGAAATTATTAAATATATAGATCATGAAAGATTAAGATAAAGAACATACGGAACTGAGAAGAGAATTACTTATATAAGAATAAATATATATGTAAAGAATGGAAAAAGAATAAGTATATAAAACAGGGTACTCATTGGAAGAATGCTACACAGAACAAATAAGTATATGAGTAAATAGAATACTAACAGTAAAGAGCAGCTGGATGGTAAATTATTGAAAAGAGAAAACTCGGCCCGTTACACTGTAGAGTACACGAATATTTTAGTAGTGCTGCCCTATTTTGGGAGTAAAATTATACTTATCTCCTGTATTTTACTGAGCTTAAATACAGTATAATTATATAACTACAGTTGTTATTGGTATTTATGGCCACAGCTACTTTACCATATTTTGCTGTACTCGGCCACAGAAAGGATCAAAGATATATATATATGACGGTCTGGACTAAGTACTCACCTAACCACATAGGAAATACTTGATCACACAGAGGCAGATAGACCTATGGAAACGGCAGAACCAGCCTAAGCCAACCTAAATGAGAGTTAAATCAAGGAACATTATTATTTGTCTCTGTGAGTGAAGTCATTGCTCAGCCAGGCTCTTACACGAACGCTTCTTGTGGGTGTTGGTGATGGGGTAAATATTCTGTTAATATTTATTCTCTAAAATTATCATACAGGTTTAAAGTTGTATAGAAATGGCTCTATTATTTGCGTGTATAGATTCCAGCACGAATATAGACAGTGTAGGTAGGTATACATAGATCGTGGAGGTATACAGTTTACTATGTGCCAAGACAGTGCAGGTATACATAGATCGTGGAGGTATACAGTTTACTATGTGCCAAGACAGTGTAGGTATACATAGATCGTGGAGGTATACAGTTTATTATGTGCCAAGACAGTGCAGGTATACATAGATCGTGGAGGTATACAGTTTACTATGTGCCAAGACAGTGCAGGTATACATAGATCGTGGAGGTATACAGTTTATTATGTGCCAAGACAGTGCAGGTATACATAGATCGTGGAGGTATACAGTTTACTATGTGCCAAGACACTGCAGGTATACAGAGGTAAACCAGTAAGTCATTTTATGGAATGATTTCTGGTTAGGTTAGGTTAGGCTAGGCTAGGCTAGGCTAGGCTAGGCTAGGCTAGGCTAAGCTAAACTAAACTAGGATATGTGAGGTTATGTGGGTTAGGGTCATCTCGTACCCAAGACAACTCATACTAAAAAAAGTTAACCTGTACCCACACCAACTTGTACCTAAGATAATTTGTACCCAACTCACGAGATAACTCGTACCCAAGATTACTTGCACCCAATTCAAGAGATAATCCATACTTATTAGTATATATACCATGCAAAGGTGGCTGCTGTCACAGTGTTATTAAAGCTTATTACCAACTATTCAGGGCCAGATTAAGGGAGGGGCCCCGGGCCCCGGAATGAAATAAAAATTTTAGCTTTATCTATGATTCCAAAAAATATTATGTAAATCTTGTAGGAAAGTGCAGTGAAATAGTGTAATGTAATAGAGTCTAGACATGCATAAAAACAGATTTATTTTCCAGCTCCAGCTTTTTGTAAACAAATAAGTTAGCATTAAAACCAAACTGGTGATTGTGATGCTCGTGTGAATTATACAAATCTGAGATTGATGGATTTTCAATGTTGACCTTAGATCATAATTGATTTTTTATTAGTGATTGTCAATTAAAAATTAGATTTTGATTTATTGTAATGCATGTTTGACAAATGGTAGCAAGAGCTTTACCGGAATTGGTGAATATTCACAAGACATATAAATTGTTTTGGGATTTGGCAATTTTCACTATGTGCTTTCATAGTTTTGTATTACCCTTGCTATATGGTTCCCCTGTGGGGTTATCTGCTGCACCTTCACATCTAAAGTTGTTAAATATTGTTTTTTGAATAGCAAAGTTCTTTGTGGTGGTGAATTGTTGTGCGATCTCTTTCATTGGCATGCTGCTGTCAGAAATTTGTCCCTGTGTAATAAAGAGTGAATATGGTGTGTGAATGTTTGTACACTTAGACTGTTGACGATCTTGCCACCAAGTGATCTTTTGTTGTGACCTGAGCTGTGTTGAGTTTAGTCCTGCCTTTGTTGTGGTGAATTATTTTATTATTTTTGTCGCCACGAGTTCCCAACCCAAACAGGGTGGTGCAGCGCTCAAAAGGAAGCACACAGCTATAGTATAGATGTAAAGTTAGAAGTGATTAGGTAAAAGGAGAGTGGGAGTGGCCAATCCACCCGGTCCTGTTTCTTTTTCATCCTCCGACTAATTCTCCATCCCCCAACACCCACCTCCATCATGCCAAATATTTTATTAGGTTAAAAAAAATATTTTTAAAACATTATAATAAGTATTTTGTCTCAATGATCCACTGGAGTGAGTGTGCACCAGCAACAGTTGCTGCAGACCACCGGGTCGCTACCTGTCCTCGACACACCGACCCCAATGAACTTTAAGGATGTTAGATAACTTATAAAGTTAAATATTTTCTTAAAATATTGTTTTACCAAATGTTTAACAAATGTTCTAAGGTAAATAATTGTTAAAAGACATCATAACTTTTGTTAGTGTTGTGTGTAATGTCTTGGTCCCAATATGATCTACTGTATTTCTGTTATTTATTATGGGATTAATTCATCGCTTTAAGTGGATTCATTATTTGAGACGTTTTTCCGGTGCTAATTAACTGTTTATAACGAGGACCCTCTGTAGTGTACAGGGATAAAGCTCTCAGAATATAATAGGAGGCTGTAACTGTTTATTTATGTCATTAATTTTTTGGTCTTATCTCTTGTCTAAAAGAAAAATCTGTCAAACTTTCATGTGATTTTTATAAAATAATCGAACTTCAGTTATCTGTACTATATTCTTGTGTTTTACAGACATCAACAATGCCTAATCCGAAAGTGGAAACCAGAGCAACTGCTCGACCAGGTCTCCGTGACAGTAGTACTTCTCCGCCTTCTTTGGGTGAAAAATCTCCTCGCACGCGAAGTCGAGGAAATGCTGGGCGATCTCCGGCACGTTATAAAGTAAGCTGGAATTATTTGACAAAACTATTAAAGTGGATCACATGATAATTTGTCTTAAATAGGATGGTGAACAGAAAATGTCCTCTTAAGTAGAGTTCTGTACAGTGTTATAAGTTTATAACCATGGCCTCCCTGAGTGACTTGTGTTACACAGCCAACTTGGTCTACAGGTTTAAAATCTAGGTTAAACCTTTGAAATAATGTGTAAGAACTAAAGAAATTACTGTATCAGCTACACCATCAAGCTATAATGACAGCTCTTGATAGTGGTCTTAGAAGTACAGCACAGCACAGTACAGTACACACATGCAGGTGTTTCCATTTAAAGTAGAAGACGAAGGGGTCATGTGTACTCAGTAACATATCAGTCTGTCTAATTCCATTTCATCTACTTCCCATTAAGTTAGTTTAGCTCAGGTCATCATTAACTGACAGTAGACATTCTGGGAATATGTGATATTTTCAGAGTAGACAAAATGGGTACAAATGTGTATACTCAAGCCCAGTGTTTAGTTTAAAGGTGGGACAACAACACCTCACTCCTGAGTGTTGATGTGTTGGCCAGTAGACACCAGTTCCAGGTGGGAGGAGGAAGTGACTGCTATAGTATCTCTCTCTCTCTTAGGTCTCATGAAATTTGTAGTGATGGCTGGGCTATGTAGGTCTGTGCTCTATCAGGGTAAGGTGGATCTCACTCTATACTTATAGCCGAGAGTTTGTTTTGCCACGACCCAATTGAATCTCGTTGACAAATCAGTATGAGGGATTAACCTTGAACCATACTATATCAAGGAAGAAAGATCAGTTTCACAGTAAGCAAGTCAGCCTTTCTTGCTGGTGTTATAAAGATTTTTTCTCCCACTGGATAGGGATATCTTGCATGTTCATGAACTACCAGTTGTATGTGTCTGAAATAGGAGTCAGGATTACTGTACTGTACTGTAGTGTTTACTCAAGACAAGACCCAACACTGAGGACAAGGTCCACTTCCTGTGAGCTGTGAAGCATCCTGGTGCAGAAGGAATCCTGAAGTCTAAAGTCTTCTCATTGACTCAGACTGTAATACTGTAGTTAATTAATTCACTGGCACCAGTAGATGTTTTACTGACTGAAAAGTGGACGGGACTGACCCACTTTGCTTACATGATGTTTGACTCATTAGCATTCTGATGGAAATGACAGCTCTTTCCAAGGGTCATGGTTATAGCTGGAAGGTATAACTAATTGTTCAGTTAGTTCCTAGCTGGTAGCATAACATGTGTGTCTAGCCTTAAATATAAAGAAGATTTCAGTACCTGGATGTCTTGTGGTTTAATTATTGATCTGATGGTAAACTAATGTGTTACTTACAGACAAAAGATGATATGAGTAGTGATGAAGACACTCAGGGGACAGACTATGGCGATGAAGTAGACCGCATCACGTCCGACAGGTCTCCACGGCTATATCCAGAATTACCACTTCCTCTGCCAGATGACTTTGACTTGTCACCAAAGAGGGTTCCCTTCTCAAAGTCAGATACTGGCTCACTAAATGATTCCTACGGCAGTACTCACTCCCGGTGTTCTTCGAGAAGTGGCCCCAGTTCACCAAGAAAAGACAACCCCCTTACCCCCATGAAGGGATCACCTGGTAAAAAAATATATCCAGATTTGATTCATAAAGACACTAAACAGTCCAGGAGAGGAGCTTCACCTGTCACGTTGATCTTCTTCTTTACTCTGGTCTTAGTGTCCATTTTAGTTCTTTACTATCATGTAGAAGAAACTGATAAACTTCAGAAGTCCAAAGTGCACAAGAAATCAGTTGAAGAAGTGTATAAAGATTTGAAAAATGAACTCCAAACAATAAATGCCCAAATTACTCAACCAAGACACTTTTGGGTCCAGTTGATTGGTCAGATAGACTCTATAATGGTTCAGAATCCAAGGCAGCCGGCCATCATACTCGTGGTGGCACCGAAGGATGCTCGAGGAACTGCGACCTGCCTCATACACAAGATTGCAGAAGCTGTTAATTATGCATTTGGGGGTAAGTTGTGATGTGCTTCTTTTAATGTTGTATTAGTTAGCAGTAGAGGTTAAAGTGAGCAGGTCGAGGACTCCATGTAAGGGGTAGCATAATGTTCCTCTTAGTTATTACGACACACCCACATTTTCTTCTCCCTTGTGAGTTATGTTAACTCCAGAAGCCTGTATGTAGTATTGTATTGTGCTTATTACATATGTTGTTGATACATAGGACTTTAGGTACAAACTCACATCTGTACCAACTAATATTCACAGGAATTGTTTAGTTTTCTTCCTTCTGGACATGGTAAGAGGGTAATATCCTCCTCAGAGAAGTAAAATTGGTGTTGAAAACTAAGCAAAGATGAACGAATGAGATTCTCAATGCAGTTTAGAGCATTTACGCACAGTGGTAGCAGGTTTGCTTCTCACTACTGTGTATGGGACTTAATCCAGGCTCAGATGTGAAAAGGTTGCTATCCAGTACAGCACTATAACACCACTGAACATCACTGGTTTTCTCTAGGTACAATGCTACAGTTTCTTCCTGTATTAACAATTGATCAGTGAAAGACAAATTCATGAGGAATAATGACGGGTTAAAGAAGGAAATAAAAAAAAAATCAAATCCACAGTAGTGCTCCATTAGTAGTGTGTTGTGTACCATCTATGGTAGATGTCAGTGTGTACAGTACAGTACAGGGTGTGTAAATGTAACCTCAACCATAAAAATATTGAACTACTACAATATATTTCAATATTCATGTCTGCAGATTCCAGATTTGTAATGTATGACGTCAAGAGTGATATGCACGTTCACCCCAGAACACTGAAACAGGAGTTAGATAATGTTCTTCAGGGGTTGTCAGAGACCCATGCAGCTGTGATACACAGTATTGAGGCCATCCCTGGGGAAGCTGCCATGATATTTCACGCTTATTGTGACAATGAGAACGCACCATTTAAGCAGGTACATTACAGTACAGTATTTGACCTTTATGTGACTTTGTCTCACTTAACCAATGTAAAGTGAGTTTATTCATTAACCCAGTGTGTATTGTCCTCAGTGTGTGTGTATAGTCTGTATACAATAATGGGTATTTCAACAGTAAATTTTCATTCTGATCTGGAGATAGTTGATAGTGGTTAAGTATATGTTGGCAGTATCAGCCATATCATCATTTGTCAATAACTATTTTTTTTTCCAGGCTATCATCTTCCCTATAATAGAGGTGGATTATTATTATGAAAACTTGGCCCACAAGAGACTGGACAACACTGTAGATGACCTTTTGGCGGAGATCTGGGGAGTCTCCTTGCTGCCCAAAGACGTGTCTGCCATAGTGTCGCGCATCGCTAATGCTCCCGTGCTCATTAAACCTGAGACGCCGGGAAGAGTTAAAGAGCTGTGTCCCATTTAATCCGGGTACTAGTAATAGAATATTATTTTTGACTGGTAATGAACAGACAATACGATTCAGATGTGCTGTACTTGTTTTACTAACGTTTATTACAGTATTTATCATAAGAACGGTCCTTTGCATGTGGAAGCTCTCCCAAAAGCCATATGTTGTTTGTATATAATTTTGAACTAGTACTGTACTGTAGTTCACACTTGTAAGAGGCTTCTGGGTTGTTGAATGTTTGCAGGTTGAAAAGAACAGGAGTTTTGTTTCTGTTAATACAATGAATCATGAAAAAAGTGCCTTTGACTAAGTGATTCTATATGTCAGATTACTAAATTTATATTATTTTTATAGCAGTGTTGCCAGCTGGCCTCCTCTCTTGTTGAAGGATGCCTCTGCTGTAGTTAGCTCTTTGTCTGGGTTAGTCATCGGTGTCAGGTGATGTGTCATTATTAGTCCAGATTTTACAACCACTCTTACATAATATAACATCACAAGCATATTTAACATAGATGTTGTATTTGATTTAGGTTTGAAATCCATCCTAACTTGGAATATACTACATTACAGTATTTCAGGTTAACTCGGGTCTGTTGAAACTGGGATTGATGTATAATAAGAATCGTTTAGGGATGAGACCACGTGGGTGATGGTGAATATACAGTACTGTACTTGTCTTTCAAAGGGGGTTGTGAATATACTAAATATTCAATGTTTTTAGGTGCTATTTACTTTGGAAACATCTGCAGCAAGTATATGTATGGTAAACAAGGCAGATTATCCATCCCCTCTACGTAATGTTTTAGTGTTTGGGTATTTCAGTGATCCACTCTGTTGTTATGCTAGTCGTTTGTGTGTTATATTTTGTCGGTACCAATTTAAAGAGAATGTAGTATGTACTTATTTTAATATTAGTATTGCTCTTCAGTGAACCAAATCTTGTTTATTATATACAAGATGTGATATAATCATCAGAATGTTCGATGTTGGTGATAATAAATGCATTATGTGTCACACTAGTACAGTAAGGTGGCTTTTGTTTTTAATTCTGTGTGAGTTTTCCATTTGTTTAACATGGAGACTCCACCACATACAGTACATCATCCACAACATCACACATAATACAGTAAACCCCAGATAAATTGTGTACCGTATGTTGTGATCAAATTTACATAATACTTATCTATCCAGTACATTATCAACCTAGCTCTCTCTCTCTCTCTCTCTCTCTCTCTCTCTCTCTCTCTGTGGTTATTGTTTTTTTACCAGTACACCACAACATTGTTCTCTTCATTATTTTTTAGTCACAAAGAAAATATTTAGGAAATATAATTTTTATCTCATGAAACTGTGGGGGTCAGAGTGCAGTATCAGGTAGATTTTACTTGAATGTGCCTCTTTTATCCTTGGGGGGGGTCCATGTTCCGTCGATTATTATTGCATCCATGCCTTGCAGCTCCTAGTGATCGTCGTCACCTCAGGCTGGTGGTCGGAAGTGAGAGTTTTAGCACGAATAATGTCCCACTCCCCTTTCTAGTGTCTTGTCTGTACCTGCCTTAAATTAATTCTTGGGTACTACTGCACTGACCAAACCATTTATTATATTATGTTTAGAAGGAAATTTCATAAACATTTTGTGGATTGTTAGTGTGTTGATGTAGTCCTGTAGTGAGCAAGAGTCAGTAAATAATGTGGTGCTCTTTAAAGTACCTGTATACAGTAATGTCTCTTTATTTGCTATTTATTATATATACTGTACTCTACTGTACCCTATGAGACAAAGTTAACTGTGGTGATGGTTGATGTTTTAATATGCTCATTGTACAGTGCTGGCTGTAAACCTGAACAACAAGACGATAAAAGAAAATCAATCAATCTGTAGTCTCTTTGATGTTCCTTATACAGGCATCCCCCACGTTACGGAACCCCGGGCTGCGGAATTTCGCTCCTACGGAATTTGTCAATTATGACCAATAATTTCGCGATACGGCCAGTAAATCCGCCCTTACGGAAATTGGGGTAAATTTTAACAATTTGAAAAAAAAAATCACTAAATGAAATTAAAATTTTTTGTTAAATATTATAATTTGTTTGGTGTGGATTTCTTGGTGTTTGCTACCATCAAGAGTCAGTCCATTGTTTATATCCAGTGTGCGCGCATTTCTCGCCCCAGCAGTTTGATTTAACTTTTACAAACATACAGTAAGTACAGTACAGTGCATTACCCTTATTCAAGATGACTGGAAAGAGGCCATCAAGTGGAAGTGACCGCAGTAGTGCAAAAAAGAAGCCGCCAAGGCATTACATTGGATATTAAACTTGATGTTTTAAGACGGTATATCATAAATTATTTAATGTACTGTATTGTATGTGTTTATAACTGTTTATTTTCATTCATAAAAGTGCTTGAATTACTTTTTGGGGCCAAAAAAATTCCTAAGGAACACATCTCCAGTTTTATAATGGAAGTCAATGAGAAAATAGGTTTTGCGATACGGTCAATTTTCCAGGGACACAGCCCTTCCGTAAAGCGGGGGATGCCTGTACTGTATATAGTATTATCCACCTCCCATTTGACTGACCTGTTTCCCCCCCCCCCAGAGAGTTCATTTCTGCATCTGATTGGTCAGTTTTACCTTATTGAATGTGTATAAATGAGTACATATGGATGGTGATTTACACACTACCGGGTAACTTATGTTGTGTAGGTACATGTATACTGGCAGCTTGTGGCAGTGTAAAGAATAACTACATTACTGTATCACTAGAGTACTGTACAGTGGAACATCTATTTAATGGACGATATTGAGAGGAAAGTCCATTATATCAAGGGTCCGTTAGATGTGAAACCTCCATTTAACGGACTATATAGAGCAGGGCCAGATACAGGAATATCAAAAGGGAGGGTCCAAGAATTTGTGGGTGGGGGAACATGGTGAGCCCTCACAGCTGGAGGGTTTTGGGGAGGCGCTGTAAGCCCCCAGAAATTTTTTTAAATCTGACCAATATCATGGGCATTTTGAGGCCATATGTACTTGATATTAGGAGACATTCTGAGGTCAAAAGTAATTACTTCTTTCTTAAACAAAAATGTCAGTTCAATATTGCATTAAAGAAAAAGTATTGAAATTTTCTGATGAAAAGGGGGGTCTGGACCCCCAAGACACCCCCTGCCCCCCGATCCACCCTTGTAGAGATGAAGTTCCATTATATCGAGAGGCCATCGGATGTGACACTTCCATCCAGCAGATTATATAGAGAGAAGTCTGTTATATGGAGGTTTGACTGTAGTGTATAAATAAGATGGAAGACAATTGACCTAAGGTGGATAATGTGTAGTGTAGAGGTGTATCAGGCACCAACAGTACAGAGATAGGGACTGTACAGTGGTGCAGTCAACTACTAAAGTGTTCACCTCTCTCCCTGAACCACTAACTCATGCTGATATATATATATATATATATATATATATATATATATATATATATATATATATATATATATATATATATATATATATATATATATATATATATATATATATATATATATATATTACAGTACCTTCAACCACAGGGACTGTACCAAGCATTAATGTTGGTTGAAAATGTTCAAAGGAGGGCCACCAGACTGGTGCCTGCCCTTCGGCACCTCAGCTACCCTGAGAGATTGGAGCGCCTGAACTTGCCTAGCTTATACTACAGACGGGCAGGGGGACCTAGTTGAGGTGTATAAGCATCTCAGGGGCACTACTCAGTTGAGTGTCCTTACTTGGAGCTGGCGGACGCTCGCCCACAAGGGGTCACAGCTCAAGATTGAAGAAGCAAGTCCAGAAAACTGTGAGGGCAAACTTTTTCGGAGTGAGAGTTGTGAACTCTTGGAACAATCTGCCAGAGAGTGTTGTGACGGCACCGAGTGTGAGCTGTTTCAAGACCAGACTTGACCAACACTGGAGCAGGTTCAGGTACATTCAGGAGCCAGTGCAGCCCAGTACTTACCAACAGTGTGTGACAGAGACGTGACCGATCACCCGGGCAGCTAACAGGCTGATCAGTGGTGAAGAGGATAAAAGTAAAAGACAGGAGCTGCCATGGCCAGGCCAACCAGCCTATTGCAGACTCCTTATTTGCTGATGTTCTTATGTAACGCCCCTGAACAAATTCAACTTGTGCAACTGAAACAGATTCAGTGGTAACACTCAGCTGATGGCAACATAACGTGATTATAATGACAGTGTTGACAAATTAAGGAATTCAGTGATGTTCTTTATGAAGAGATGGGTTGTAATGTTAAGGTGCTCCAGTTAATAGTAAAAAGCACCTGTATTATTTATATTAATGCTTATTTTATATAATGTCATGATTTGTGCATTATGGAAATATTTGTTGAACTGTTAAAAAAAAAGTGTCTGAATCATTAACTTGTATGTGGCGGGTCATCTCCGGCCGCCATTTTAGGTGATAGTCTTTAAGAGAAAAGTCTGAACTATCTTAGGGACGATATATTAATTACCTGCTATAAACTATTTTTTTCAAATAAAATATAATATATAATTGCTTCATTGAGTATATCAATTGAAAAATCATTTCCATTTAGAGGTTAAAGAACTAACGCCGTTGACAGCCGCAGGAAACACCTGTTTAAAGTAAACTAAATATGACTATTGTTAAGAAATTATCACGAACAAAAATTTAACCAAAAATATATTATTTTATTTATATTTCAAGAGAATAAAACAATATCTTGCATAAAAACTTTTAAGCATAAAAATTCAATAATATTTCAGGTTAAGACTGGCCAGGAGAGGTTAGGTTATATTAAGTCTCATCAAAAATAAATACACCGCTGATGACGTTCGTGGTACCATGTTAACACTGGTCATCCCTCAAAGTAAACAAACGTGACTATTGTGGGCGGCTCTTTAAACCTTCTGGGCGTGGCGGCGGCGGCGGCTGTTACCTCATAAAGAAAGGTGACGACTTGTGGTGGCCTGCCGAGTGAGTCAGGTGAGACTAATGTGGTAAATAATCAACTGATGGGAGATAATTAACGGTGACTAAACATTTCCTTTAAAGGGGGTGGGGGGGGAGGGAGTTCAGCCTTGGCTTACTGTGTTTGGTGTTGGTGATGTGTTGGTGATGTGCTGTGGGGATGTGTGAGGTGATGTGAGGTGTTATGAGGTATATATAACCATTGTGTGTATATGTGCATAGTCTGTATATATGGTGAACTAATGTGAAACTTGTATAATAATTCACTTGGATATCCTCCTCTTAGCTACCAGTTATGTAATTTAATTCTTTTCAGACATAATGTTCTTTCTGCAGTATATTTTTTTAGTATGGGACTTGATTGTGTTTTATACTTAAGTTGTTAGGTTAGGTAAGTGTGTTGCTATTAGGTAAATATTGTACAAAATATGAGTTAGATAATGGTTTAAATCTCTACAAAGAATGTTTATTTGTAATTGTTGCTATATTGCTGTTGAAGTGGAATTGTGTATAGATATATATTTAGTTATTCAATAAAATCAACATTCAAGGTCAGGTGGGACAGCATGAATGATAGATTATAGAATGTTGTGGTACAGTGATATAATCTGGTGTTGTGGGACAGTGATATAATCTGGTGTTGTGGTACAGTGATATAATCTGGTGTTGTGGGACAGTGATATAATCTGGTGTTGTGGTACAGTGATATAATCTGGTGTTGTGGTACAGTGATATAATCTGGTGTTGTGGTACAGTGATATAATCTGGTGTTGTGGTACAGTGATATAATCTGGTGTTGTGGGACAGTGATATAATCTGGTGTTGTGGTACAGTGATATAATCTGGTATTGTGGTACAGTGATATAATCTGGTGTTGTGGTACAGTGATATAATCTGGTGTTGTGGTACAGTGATATAATCTGGTGTTGTGGTACAGTGATATAATCTGGTGTTGTGTTCCTGAATGTTGTATTGTTATTAAACTCTAGAAGTAACAGATATTGAAACGTTCTTAAATTTTTTTTTTTATAAAATGAACCAAACAAAGATCACTACCCTACCTCACTAACTAACCATACCATAACTAACCAACCATACCATAACTAACCAACCATACCATAACTCACTAACCAACCATACCATAACTCACCAACCAACCATATCATAACTAACCAACCATACCATAACTAACTAACCATACCATAACTAACTAACCATACCATAACTAACCAACCATACCATAACTCACTAACCAACCATACCATACCTACCTAACTAACTGTGTTGTATCCACCCAAGTGGACTTAAGTTGTCATTGAGAAAGAATTATGTAATTTAATTCATATTTTGCTCTGAGGTACAGTGTAATGTTTTGCCATTTGGTAAGAAGACTTCATGAATATAATTTGTTTACTTTTGTTGAGTGATTGGTAAAATATTTCTTGGTGAACTCTCATCTTGTCAAGTTGTGCTGGTATGTTTGCCAGAAAGTGATGCAGCTTAATAGGGTACAGTACAGTACAGTATTTTCAAAACACACATTTATAAAGCAAACCTTGATATTATAACATCCTCAATGTACTGTATTTAAATTACAGTAAAAACAAAATAAAAATGAGGAGATAGCAATAAATACATGAGTGTGGGTGGCAGCCTTGAGTCGGGTGATCAGTGCTTGGCAGCAGCTGTGTTGTGTGTGAGAGGAGCACTCCAGAACAGTAGTGCTGTACTGTATACTGTACTGTACTGTGTACTGTACTATACTATACTGTACTATACTGTACTGTACTGTATACTGTACTGTACTATACTGTATACTGTACTACATGTATACTGTACTATACTATACTGTTCTGTACTGTATATACATTATATGAAAGGTAC